TTTATATCATTACAATCATAATAGTTTAAATTATTCATTAATGAAAAATCTAAAATTTAACAAATTCAATCTTCATTCAAAATCGGAAAATCAATTAAAAATTCAAAATTCTTTTCGAAATATAAAAATCCGGAATTTTTACTACTCAAAAAGATTTCTCCAATTTTAATCCGCGAATTTTATGCGACAAAAGATTTGTAATCTGTACACAGGAAAAAAACCGAAGATTGTACTATATCGCGGAGGCAGTCGATCGCTATCTTTCCGATTGTGATTTTTTCGACAAAGCTGGAAGGGTAAGGAACAGTGACAATGTCGTGTATTCCCGTTTTATCTGGTCTCTCGATAACGAAACACAGAATTATGATCGTTTTATCGTCAAGACGTTCTTAAAACTTCATCCCGAGCCAGATTGCAATCGGTTTTCGTATCGTCGCCTTTTCTCTATCTATTCCTACCGGTACACCTGTACCCCAGAGATATATCCAAAAATTGTGTCGAGTTACAAACCGATAACACCACCTCCAAAACTTCGTTGTAAATCGATCCGGATTGCGTAATTAACAGACTTGCAATGTCTGCGATAATTGTATCTCTGATTGAATGACAGTCGATAAGAGAGAGCTCGATGTAATGTTTTCGATAAAAGGATTTAGATAGAAAGAAAATTCAATTATCGACAGTATTAACTTCTTTTAATAATGAATTCGTAAGTGTTTGGAAAAGTTTCTTCGTAACAGTATATTAAAAAAAAGACTGATTAAAAATTTAAACAATATAAAAAAAATCGAATCCAATATGGTTCTCTTTGAAATATCAATATTTCACATATTAACTTCGTAATTTGTCCGCAAACAATCCTCGAATTTCCCTAGGAACCCCCGAAATCTTTCGACAGCCGACACGGAGACCCCAGAGTGGTGTTTGTCGCTTAATTAGTACGCTCCTTGTCAGTAAGTTAATGAAAAAGATCGGTCAAGTACGATTGCGGGTCTCCCCCTGTAGGAAAGGAGGAAAAAGACGGAGCGAAGGGGAAAAGAAAAGGAAAAGACAAAATTGCGTATGCCCAGGGCGAGGATACAAGTGGCCACAAGTCCGGCCAACAAGCCAAAACAATGGAAACAAAGTGTCTGCGTTTACCATGGGCCGCGTGTTGTTTCTGCTCACACCCTTGTCGTCGCTCTTTCATCCTCGTCGAGGCTTTTCAGCCTAACGCGAAAACTTCGAAGGGGCAGCCAAGAGACGAATCGTTACTTTCTGCCTTCATCACGCTTGATTCAAGCACTATCGTTTTACATTGCACCCTCGATCTTGACTGAGCACCGTATATACGTTTACTAGAGCGCTGGAAAAAATGTTTGTTGTAGAGCGAGCGATGCTTAATGGAACAGGGAAAGACTTTTTATTTTTGATATTAAATTAAAATGGAAGATAGGAAAAATTTGGATTTTTAGGTTAAATATTTGTTAGATTAATTTTTGCACATTAATTATTCAGAGTTAATTATTTTTCTACGTTACTTCCGGATATTACTTAATTTTAATCCGAAAGTAATTATGGAATATTAAATATCTCTTTTAGATATTT